ATTTCAGTTCTGAGGTTGCTGATTGACATCCATTCTGCTTTAGTTTTTCTCTGTGTTCCTGGGACTATCAGTCTTAGAGGAAGACTGTCCTAACAGGCTTTTCCAAAACTCAGCCTTGACCATGAACATCTTTGCTGAGGTCTTCCCAATGTCTTGGCCACACAGGCAAGCTTCGTGGTTCAGCGTTCGAGGCTCCCAGTCACTGCTGTTATCCCCATAGTTCCTGCTCCAACGCCACATGTCACTAGGCACTTCTCTGTCACTCCCTACCCCTGTTTTTTGTTTTTTTTTTTACCTTGCAAAGTTCTATTCCTCTTTCAAATCTACCTCCACATCCACATTTCCCTCAGTACTCCCCATTAGAGTCATGGTGTTCCATGATTTCAGGCTGTTTATGCGTCTGCTCTCCTTGCATCTTGAGAGCCGAGATTGACTTCTGTGTCCCTATTTCTGGCTTGGAGTCTGATGCCTGTTTGTTGAGTGAAGAGTAGTGAAACATAGCAGAAGGGCAGTGTTAGAGCAGCAAACACGGTATTCAAAGTGGGGAGAAGCAGAGTCTGATGTTGGCTAGGCATCCAGGAAAGCGTCAAGGTGGAGGCAGGGCAGGGGTTAGCTTTGTGAGCCTTAGCCAGGGGATGAATAGGAAGCATGCCAACTAACCTTTCCACACTCAAAAGGTTCTTCTTGGTGCATTTTCCCAAGTGAATTAAAAACGGTGCATTGGAGACCACATTGAAGCTTGGCCTGTCTTTAACTGATATGCGCTGGTTGGCATGCAGCTGGGCCCGGAAATTGGAGAGGGAGAGTGCCTGGCTCCTCTCCCTCCCCAAGGGAATGACCGGAGGAGGTCTGGGCTCCTATCTAGTGGTTGATGCAGAGGTTGGGCTGCTGTCAGGCAGCCTGGTGATAGATTTGTTGTTGTTGTTAAATGCTGTCGAGTCAGTTCTGACCCATAGCCACCCCACGTAGGGTTTCCGAGGATGGTCCCTGGGATTTAGCTAGATTCTTTACCACACTTCTTCTCCAGCTGTCTCAGAGCTGGGGAGGCAGCATCCCACTCTGCATTAAATGTGTCCAAGTCCTGAGGAAGCTCTTCCCTCCTACACCAGTCATTTGACTCAGTTCCCCTGTGCGGAGTGTTTGCTGCAAGATTTTGTGTAATTCCTTAAAACAAGCAAACCAACCAACCAAACATCTTCTGGGCCTCAGTTTCCCCAGTGTGGCTAGTAGAGCTCTCACCTTGCAGGGGTGGTGAGGATTTAATGAGCTCATTCACAGAAAGCCCTTGGAATAGAGCCTGGCATAGAGGAGGAGCCAAGAACTTGTCATTGTCATTTTTGCATTGTGACCAGTGATGCCAAACATTGTCCTTGGGGTGACCCTAAGGGTATCATACTATCATTGCCCACCATGTTTCAGACTAGCAAACCATGCTCAGCAGGACAGGGGCTTGCCCAGGGCCACCCAGAAATCAGGGGAGCTGGAACGCAAGTTTCTAAAACAAGGAGGCCTTGCTTTTATCACAATCTCTTCACCAACTGTGTTTTGAGCATCTACTTCCTCCCAGACTCTTGTGAGCAAGCAGTGAAAAAATCAGATAAGAACCTCCACCCTCGCACGGAGCTGATATCCTAAGGGGTGAGACCAATGACCAGCAAATAAGTAAACGGCAAGTGACAAGGAGAAAGATGAAACAGAGGAGTGTAAATGTAGACAGGTGGCCAGAGATTTCCCTGAGGGGGTGACACTGGAGCTGAGACCCAAAGGGGGCAGTGGTATTTCTAGGGTGCTGAGGGGAGTGAGCTGTACCTGGTAACACTGTCAGAGGGGGAGCAACAAAATGCCTGTCTATAAATTGTGCAGTTTTTCAGCAGAAATTTGTAATGTTTTATTAAAACATTCCTGTAGCTAGTTATACCAACAAAAATATTTTTGGTAAGCCAGCTCTGTGTATCATAGACCTGTAAGGATAAAACGCTGTGCTCATTTATTTTGGAAACATTTCCATCAGCACCGTAATTACAATGTAAATGGCCACTTCGAATCATGTGGTTTCATCTTCACATGCTACAAACACAAACTGCTGTTTTCATTGCTCCCAGAGTTTGTCACATCTTCTGGTGTTTTAGTTACAGGATTGTGGGAAATAGTATTTGGAAAACTATACCAATAACTTTTCAAAGAATGAAGTAGTCATTAAAAGAAAAGGAGAAAAATTTTCAAAGGCTTCTGTTCAGTTATTGATAACGTTGTAGCTAATAATGTGATTTAATGTAGAAAAATTTACAAGATTATTTTGTTGTTAGTATTCCTATGTGTGGTGCCCTAGTGGCCTGATGGATAAGGGCAGGGAGAGGAAGGAGGCCCAGAGGTTGCTTGACGCCCTCTTTTCCCCAGGACCCTGAGGTAGCCATCCCCAAGGGAACACTGATGGCCATTTTCTGGACCACCATTTCCTACCTGGCCATCTCAGCCACCATCGGTAAGTGGCCGGGCCCTGGGGACAGAAGAGGGGCCTGCCAGCCCATGGTACAAGTGACCCAGACCTCTGAAGGAGGAAACAGGGCTCAGAAAGGTTAAGTCCCTGTTCAAGGCCACACAGACACTGAGTGGTAGAGCCAGGCTTGGACCCCAGGCTTGTAACTGGCTTCTCCCTGAGATCTGGTCAGGCATGCTTACTCCCCAGTAACAACCTTGTGAGGCAAGCTTGTCACAGACGGCCAAGGGGCTGGCCCCCAGTGACGGACAGTCAGGCCTTGTGTTGCCAAAGACCTGTCATTGAAGGTCTCGATGCCTGTGTAAACTGGGATTGATACAATGAAAATAATAATATTTCCCAGGGATGTTGTACAGTGCCTGTCACCTTGTAAGTCTTCCTACATATTAGCTATCACTCTGGTAGCGTAATGATCACGAATTGTTCTGCTAACCTCAGCAGTTCCATGGGAGAAAGATGAGGCTTTCTGCTCCCATAAAGATTTATAGCCTTGGAAACCCTGTTTAGGGTCGCTATGGGTTGGAATCAACTTGACAGCACTAGTCAACAACAACATCACAGGAGTCCCTAGGTGTTAAGTGCTTGGCAAGTGGTTCAAATCCACCCAGAGGCACCTTGGGAAAAATACCTGGCGATCTACTTCTGAAAGATCATAGCTGTTAAAAACCCTAAGGAGTGACGTTCTATTCTAAAAGATGAAATCCACTTGATGACAACTGTTGCTTGTTTGATTTTGTTTTGAATTGGCATTATTTTACCTAAGGAAGAGTGGACCACTCACAGTATCTTGCCCTCTGTAGAAGTGGCCAGCTCTTAGTGGAGGGACTGGAACCAGAGTAGAGTGGAGGGGAAGGAGCCCGCCACAACCTCCTCTTCCTCCCAGGTTCCTGCATGGTGCGGGATGCCTCCGGGGGCCTGAATGACACCGTGACCCCTGGCGCGGGTGCCTGTGAGGGCCTGGCCTGTGGCTATGGCTGGAACTTTACGGAGTGCTCCCAGCAACACAGCTGCCGCTATGGTCTCATCAACTACTACCAGGTAACTCTGGTTCTCACCTGGCTCTCACTGGGATGGGGAGAGGGCTCAGGACACTGGGATCCCAGGTGAGATTTCAGACTCTGTAGTAGGGGCTCCAAGCTCAGGCCCCCCCCCCATGGAGCTCTGAACCTCAAATTCTGCAGACTATGAGCATGGTGTCAGGCTTTGCACCCCTCATCACAGCCGGCATCTTTGGGGCCACCCTGTCCTCCGCCCTGGCCTGCCTTGTCTCTGCTGCCAAAGTCTTCCAGGTGAGATTAGGATGGGAGGGTTGCTTAGGGCCGGGCTGGGAGGTCCCTGTGTGAGGGGTACAAAGGAGTCATATGACTGGGTTGTCTCCACTGAAAAGAGAAGGGTCAGGACAGCAAATGTCCGGGATGCTGCCCTTCCTGTGGCCGGGTTTGAAGATCCTGCCCTTCCACCCAGAACTCACCCCAAACTCTCACTGCGTCTGAAACAGTGCCCTCCATATTTCGACTCCTATCATGGTCTCGTTGCACTTCCTGGCCTTGGGCTGGGGGAAGGGGAAGGAGGAGTGGGGATGTCACCCCGTCTACCAGAAACAGAAACTCTGACCCAAATTGAGAAAGTGCCTCTGGAGGTCACTGTGAGTGCCCAGGGAGGGGGTGGGTGACAGGTGCCAGCCAGGCATGAACAGCTGACCTCTACCCACAGTGCCTGTGTGAAGACCAGCTGTATCCGCTGATAGACTTTTTTGGCAAAGGCTACGGCAAGAACAAGGAACCCATTCGCAGCTACCTGCTGGCCTATGCCATCGCTGTGGCCTTCATCATCATCGGTAAGAAGTGCCAGGGCACAGAGAGGCGCCTCCCCTCTGTCCAGCCACCCCTCGCCCAGTGCCCAGTCATTGGGCACTTGGTGGAGAACTGGCAGGAGACTTAGGGAGGTCAGCAGTATGGTCTCCCTGCCCACCTCCAGAAGCTTCCTCCCTAACCAGGCCAGGCAGGTGGACCCTTCTATTTTGTAGAGGGGACCCCAGTCTCTTATCTGGTCCCCTAGTCCAGTGTCCTGGCTGCTGGGAAAACCCCCAGAGCTAAATAAATCCCTAGGACAGCCATGGGGCACAGCCCCTCCTTGGAAGCCAATACCAATGATTGGGTCAGGGTTTTCGTGAACTAGACAAACCCAGTGTCTCAGGTTGCGGATGCCTTAAAAGAGCGAGCCCCCAGCTTGGAGCTATGCAGACTGACTTTCTATTCACCCTTGCTGGATGCCGGCTGTGTGATCTGTTTCCTTGTCTGTAAAATGGGAGTGATGGTACACAGCAAGTTTGTCACCAATGGATGGAAAGAGGCCATCTGTGCACACGTGTGTGCACACACACACATAGCCTTCCAGACACTCACATGTACTGCAGACACACACACACACACACCCTCCAAACACACTCACATGTACTGCACACCTGTGAATTCACATACATGTGTGCATACATGCCACATGCAGTTGTAAATGTATACACGTACACACTCTTGTACAAACACACCCATTTTTACACACACTGTTGCTTTCTGGTTTGCTAATCAAGGAGGCAGAAGTCTCCAAGAGGGAAGTGGCCTCATGAAGCAGGGACAGCTGACCCCTGACTCTCTCTGTAGGAGTTGGGGGGCTGTTGGTAACCCTCTCTGGGCAGGGAGGCACTTCTCTGACTCAGCAAATCCTTGATCTCAATTCGGCATCAGCAGTCCTGAAGGGCTCACCCCAGCATCTTATCACCATCACTCAAGAGAACCTTCTAGACACCGGCTTTAAACCAAGTGTGGGCACAGTCTAGTGGGCTACTTAGTGTTCCTGGCCCCCACTCCTGCTCACCAGGGTCCCAGAACCTGCCTTCCCACTCAGATCTGATATCTTTTGATCTGGGTGGTTCTTTCTTCAGACTGAGGGCCATGGTCTCAGGTCAGCAGGCGAGACTCGTTCTAGAAGGCCCTTGTGGCATGTAAGAGGTGCTAGTCTTGTTTGGGAAATCCCCCAGCTGCAGGGAACAATGGCAGGGGAGGGGGGCAGTGAGGTGGGGAAGGCAGGAGCTAGTACTTGAGGTGTTACTACTGTGGGTGGAATTGTGGGGCAGACTCAGGTTTCAGGAGAGTGTTGAGTGTGCATTGGTCTACACTGTGACCTGTATTTCTCCCTCTATATAATCTATGGTCAGAGAGTGTGCCAGCCATGACCCGGGGTCACCCCATAGCCCGACAGGCCCTCTCAGCTCTACCCTCCACCTTCCTTTTCAACAGCCAGCCACATATATCTTACAAAACACTGCCCGTCTGGACTTAACAGAATGATGGGCCCATTTCACAGATAAGAAGGCTGAGCCTTACTGAGCTTTGGTGACCTATCTGGGTCCCCCACCCTGTGAGGTAGGGCATCAGACTGCTCCTTGGAGGAGTTTCCAATGGGCTGTCCTCTCTCTTGCTGGGTCCCTGAAGCCGAGCTCAACACCATTGCCCCCATCATTTCCAACTTCTTCCTGTGTTCCTATGCCCTCATCAACTTCAGCTGCTTCCATGCCTCCATCACAAACTCACCTGGTAAGCAAATTCCTCACCTCTCCAATGGAGGGGGCACCAGTGACTGGGACATTTGTCGGCGGCGGTGGGGGGCGGGGGGACTGTGATGGACAGTATGGGTGGAGGTGGTCACAACAGTGTCACTACTTAACTTGGAAACAAGGGAACATTCGGATAACAATAGTCATAGCTATTCTTTATGAAAGGATCCCTGATGGTGCAATGGTCAAGCACTTGGCTGCTAACCAAGGTTGGCAGTTCAAATCTATCCGGAAGTTCTGCCAGAGAAAAGAGCTGGCGATCTGCTGCTGTAAAGACTGTTATTGTTAAGTGTTCCGACTCATAGCCACCCAGTACAGGGTTTCCGAGGAGCAGCTGGTAAGTTTGAACCGTGACCTTGTGGTTCAAACTGAACTTTTAATCCAGTGTGTATCTTACAGCACCCCACCAGGACTCCCCTGTAGAGATACAGCCTAGAAAACCCTATGGGGCTATTCTACTCTGGCACATGGGTTGGCTATGAGTCGGAACTGACAGCATCTCACAACATCCTTGATCAGCATTTACAGCGTGTACTTGCCATTACAGTTGGAAGAGTAGAGATTTTCGATTCTCTTCCTACTGATGATGAAGGAGTCGGGGTCTGGTTCCCAGGGAGAGAGGGAACTCGCCTAACGTCATAAGCACAGCAATCATGTGGTCGCTGTGGTTGTACACTGCACGTTTCTAGGGGGCGCTCTTCACACAGCAAACCACGTAGATTTACATGCTTCTTATAGACATCTTCTGGCAGATGGAAGTAAGAAGCTTAAGGACATAGAAAAGGTCACTTCCTCTAATTAGCCCCAAATCGCTGGTGGGCTTGTCTCTGGGCTGCCTTTTACACAGACCACAATGAACTTGGTACCCCTTGGTGTTGGATTGGGGCAGATCTCAGTAACTACAACAAAGTCAGGTGCAAACCTAGGTCTCCTGGTCCTCAGTTCATGCCCCATCCCCTCCATCTCAGCCCATGAAGCTGGTGCTTCTGGCAACGTTGGGTGTCTGGTGACCATATTTGGCCAGAGCTGCCTCCTCCTTGATGTGGTTTGTGAACATGGGACCCTCCAGGTCCAGTTCCAGCAGACAGGGAGAGTGGTCCCCCTTAGTGCAGATGGCTGTTGGGCCACAGGCCGGGACTCAGTTCTGGGCACTTCTGGTCTCGTGGCCCTGGCCTTGCACAGCTGCTCTGCCCTGAGACAGTCTCCAGAGGCTGAGTGTGCCCTCGGCCCTTGCCTTGACCAGGCTGGAGACCCTCATTCCGCTACTACAGCAAGTGGGCTGCGCTATTTGGGTCAGTTGTCTCCGTGGTCATCATGTTCCTTCTCACCTGGTGGGCGGCCCTCATCGCCATTGGTATTGTCCTCTTCCTCCTGCTGTATGTCCTCTACAAGAAGCCAGGTGTGTGCTCACGGGCTTGTGGGCTCTGGGCGCCCGGGGATTCCTGGTCCACAAGGCTGAGATGGCTCCGAGGGTTTGTGCGGCCTCTCCCCAGACCTGCCCTCCTGCGTGGGCACCCACTGGGGGTGGAGCACATGAGGCCTGCCTGAGAGGCTCAAGGAATGGCTGTTGGATGGGCGTGAGGGCTGAGCTTGGAGGCACAGGGAAGGACCTTGGGGTTTGAGTGAGCTGGGGCAGAACCGTGAGCCTGGCCCTTATGTCAAGGGGGTAGTATTCTGTCCTGTAGCTTTAAAATATGTAGTCCCGTGGGGTGTGGGCCAGACCCTACAGTCCCTGGGAACAGAGTGGCAGGCATCCTCCTGCAGAGCTGCCGTCTCCCATGGGTTCTTAGCCCTCAGCCCTCTCTCCCTCCCTATGTCTGTGTTTCCCCTCAATTCCTCAATCTGCTGATGCTTGCTGCTCTCAGAGGTGAACTGGGGTTCCTCGGTGCAGGCCGGCTCTTACAACCTGGCTCTCAGCCACTCAGTGGGCCTCAACGAGGTGGAAGAACACATCAAGAATTACCGGTGAGCAGCCCCCAGGACCCTGCTCCGGGCCAGACCTGTCCCCCGAGGTGGGCACACACTCAGAGAGGGAATCAGAGGAGAGGAATGAACTGGAGTTGGTAAACCCAGGTGGGCCCCTGAGGTCCCTGACATTATGACCCCATTCTCAGGTGAGCACACTGAGGCACAGTTAAGTAGCTGGCCCTGGTGGTGACTGCTGCCCTCTGCCACTTCCAGGTACAGAGGTTGAGCCACCCAGGGAGTCTGTAAATGAAGGGTCTCCCACCATCAGCCTGGTGGGTGCAGTGGGGCATTGGGGACCAGAGCAGAAAGAGCAATGGAGACTCAGTTGTAAGGACCCTGAATGTCCTCCTCGAGTCACAGCTGGGGAGGCAAGGCCCGGAACACACAGGATTGTGTTCACTTGTCCTTCCTATTAGAAAATGAGACCCAAGAAGGTGCTGACCCATGGGTGCTTGCATTTCACACTCAAGCCTTGGGGGACTCTCTCCTAATATTTGTGCCTTTTCCCTGCCCCTGGTCAGTCCCCAGTGCCTCGTGCTTACTGGACCCCCCAACTTCCGTCCAGCACTGGTGGACTTCGTGGGCACCTTCACCCGGAACCTCAGCCTGATGATCTGTGGTCATGTGCTCATTGTGAGTCCCCTCTGGAGGAGACCATAGCCTCAGGAGAGCTGCCGGGGGCATGATGTCGGCCATGGTGTAGGGTGTCAAGGTGTAGCAAGGCCCACGCAATCTCTCCATGCCCTGCCTCTGTCTCTCTGCTTCCCTCTTCCCTTCCCTCACTGTGCTGAGCTTTCAGGGCAGACAAGGAGCTAATTCTCAGACTGGAGGGTAAGGTCATCCCTGACATCCTGGCCCTCTACAGGGACCCCGCAAGCAGAGGATGCCTGAGCTCCGTCTCATCGCCAACGGACACACCAAGTGGCTGAACAAGAGGAAGATCAAGGCCTTCTACTCAGATGTCATTGCTGAGGACCTCCGTAGTGGAGTTCAGATTCTCATGCAGGTGCTGTGGGCTTGGGGTTGTGACAATGTGGGAGACAGGAAGTCCTGGGATCCAGATTTAGACCCTCTGCTACACCACAAGAGCCCATGGGTGGTGTGAAGGTTAATACTCAGCTGCTAATGGAAAGACTGGAGGTATGAATCCATCCAGAGGTCACCAGGAAGAAAGTCCTGGTGATCCACTTCTAAAACACCAGCCATTGGAAACCCTAAGGCACACAGCTCTACTCTGATACCTGTGAGTCACAATGAGTCAAAGTCCACCCCACAGTAACTGGGTTTTTTTCTGCAACACCATTCCCACCTCTTCCTGCCCCTCCAAATGTGCTGATTCATGCCCGGGGTCTGGAAAGCTTGAGCTGGAGTCTGAGGCTGATCGACCTTGGGTAGTTTCCTTTTTCTTTTTAAAAAGACATAATTTACAAATCATAAAGTGAGAAATATGAAGTGTATATTTGATAAACACTGACAGATGTAGACACCACATGGTGGTATCAAAACACAACTTGTCTCAAGATATAGAACATTCCACCGGACAATTCATTTTCCTGCTCAGTGTTTTCATTCCTGAAAAAAAGAGATGTATTTGATAATTGGTCATTCTGAGTGGTCAACATATAGGAATTCTTTTCAATAGTTTTAAACGTTTCTTAAAATGAAAAAGATAAGAGACTGATGTGGAAGAAATATAGATTTTATGACCTAGAAACACACCAAGCTTGTTAACCAAAGTCACATCTCTTGTTGTGAAAAATAATTTGTTGGAGAAGCAGGATAATCCATAACTAATAGGAGAGTGTGGTGGTGCTGTAGGATAAGCACTAAACTACATACCACGAGGTTGGTGGTTGGAGGCCACCAGCTACTCTACAGAAGAAAGATGAGGCTTTCTGCTCCACAAAGATTTATAGCGTCAGAAACCCTATACAGGATCACTATTAGTCGGAACTGACTTAACAGCACTTAACAATATAACAAAAGGACAGTCTAGTCGTAGGCCTAGTGTCAGTAAGGTCACATGGAATAAGTGTGGCAATAACTTTGTCCTGGATGGGGGTGCATTTCTTGAGCCTTCGCTGAGTGGAGGGGAGACTGACCAGGGCTCAGAGAATCCCACTGGCCACAGATCAGAATCTCTTTGGGGCATGAGGCCTGGTTACCAGCTCAGCCCCTCTGATGAATCCTTTACTCACATCCTACAGGCCACAGGTCTTGGGAGAATGAAACCCAACATCTTGGTGCTTGGGTTCAAGAAGAATTGGCAGTCAGCCCACCCAGCGACGGTGGAAGATTACATTGGCACCCTGCAGTGAGTGGGGAGCTGGGGAGGCAGGAACTGGGGGCTGTGGACTTGGGCTATCACTGTAGCCCGGGCCTTGGGAAGACAGGACACTGTAGGAAGCTGTGTCCACTGGTTCTAAGATGAGAAAGAAACAGAAAGGCCGAGAGTCTCCACCATGCCCCAGGGGTCATGGACACCAGCGTTAGCAGGGATCAAGTAGGCTATACACAGAGTGAAGGGAGCTGGGGCCGGACAGTAGAGAGCTGGGCTGTGTGACCTGTCCCAGTCACTTGTGGTCATGCAGAAACATGGCCCCACTCTTGCCAGATCTTCTTGGGTTTTTGGAGAAACTGAAAATCCACGTTTTTAGGTGAAATCCTTGGGCCTACTTATGGACTACAGAAGGCCACCAGGTGGTCACCTCAGAAGCCCTGAGGTAGTACCACCGAGCAGAGAAGTCACAATTCAGCCCGAAGGGAGGCAACAAACAGGAGGAATGAGACTGGGGGACAGAACTTCATTGGGACTTCAGGGTTAATGGATACCATTTCTCCTTCAGCTGTGCAAGGTCCAGAAATGCTGGCCCAGGTTGCATTTCTATGCAGTGAGGCAGCATGCAGTGGCATTTAAGGAACACAAAGTTGAGTGTTGCAGGCCTGGACCCTGCTTCCAGGATGCTGTAGCCAGCCGGGAATCTTAACTGCCTCTGACAAAATTGCATCAGGAGGTGGTAGAGTACCTGGTCTCCATGGTCCTCTAGTGCCAACACTCCCAGATTCCAAACTGCTGAGGACTGAGAGCTTCCTGTGCAGAACTATGTCATGAAAGGAGTCCAAAGGGGGCGATGCTTGACCCATTAGAACAAACCCTATTGGCGGACTGTAGGGCACAGTGCCAACTAGCTGTGAAGACTTGTACACATTCCATATAAACAACATGCTATTACATCCATGAGCGAGGTCATTCCTATGTGCCCATTCTCAATTATGAAAGAGACATTACATGGAACAGTGGACAGAGCCCTGGCTTGAGATTTCAAAAGATCTGGATTCTAATTCCACCTGGCCACTTCCTAAATTGAGTGATCATGGGCCAGTTACTCCCCTGTTTCTGCCTCTGTAAAACGGGGAACATAATTCCCATCTCCACATCGGCTGGCCAGGTTGGGAGGACTCTCCATTTATATCAGGAGGGCAGGGCCTGGCTTGAAGCCTGACTTGATTTCCCCCAGAGGGGAGGATCCATAGTCCCACAGACCATGAGGTAAGAGGTGAGACTATCTGTCCTGCCTGCTCAGTATACAAATGGGAAGCTGAGGCCCAGAGAGAGGGTGGCAGGACCATCATAGCCCCCAAACCCCTTGGAGCTGGGTCACCTCCCCTAGATGAGGCAGAGCTAAGAGGAGCCTGACCCCACCTCCTCTTTACAGTGATGCTTTTGATCTCAACTATGGTGTGTGTGTCCTGAGGATGCGAGAGGGCCTCAACATCTCCGGGGTGATGCAAGCACACAGTGAGTACCGCCTTCTCAGCGCCACTCTCCGCAACCAGACCAGGGCTCCGGAAAATGTAAGAACCCAAATATTTTTCAGTGGTAGTGAAAAAGAGGGAAAAAGCAATACGTAATAAAAGGCTGCAGACTCCTCTATGGGCCCAGACTTCCAAATGGGGTAACTAAGACCCAGAATGGGGAAGCTAAGGTTTAAGGCCAAGGTCAGGTTTCCAGTTGAGGGCAGAACCAGGACTGGAACTCAGAGCTCCCGGGGTCACTGCTAGTGCTGTTGTAGGTGGTGGGATGAAGATGATCTCATAGAAAAGGGGTAAGGGGGAGAGACAAGCTCATGGAAATAAAACCAAACCATGAACGTACACACACAAAGGCCAGGACAACTGGATGATTGGGTCTGGAAGTCCATCTTTGGGCACAGAGAAGGGATGTGTTGTATGTTAAAGTCATATGTGAATATGTAGATTCCAAACTAGCAAGGAGTCTAGTTGTGAAAAGAGTTGGGGAGGTTGAGAGGGGTCTCTGCTCAATAAAAATTTCTGATACAGATATTCACAGAGCAGGAATGGGCAGATAGTCCTCATTTCTAGGAAAGGAGATGTGTCAAATCATCAAAGAACCCAAATCCACTGCTGTCCGTGTGATTACAATGCATAGCGGCACTCAAGGATGGAAACCCAGGGCTTTCCAAAGTTAGCGGTCTATATGGGAACGAGCAGCGTCATAGTTCTCCTGTGGAGTAGCTGATGGGTTCAGATGGCTGACCTTGCGGTTAGCAGTTCAACACTCAACATCCTACCACAAGAAACAAATACACCAGGGCCTGGGGAGGATGAGAGTCCATCTTCCAGTTCATTCTGAGAGGTGACAAATCGAATGTTGGCCTTGGAGAGTGACATTCTAGTGGGGAAGGCAGACAGTTAGCCATTGGATACAATCAGTATTCTGAGGAATACTATGGGCCCCATAGACAGGCCCTGTGGTCGGGCAGGTCTCTGATGAAGCAATCCCGGAGGACATATGGGAAGGGGCCTGTTTAAGTACGCGTGATGAGTGAGGGCAGGGACAAGCCAGAGGGAGGAGGGCAGGTGATGAGTCAGGACTTGTCCCTGAGGATGAACCCTAGGTTAGGAGAGCCTATGAACTAAAGCCATCCCCTACTTTTGCAGTTAACCCTGTGTTTGACCCAGCGGAGGACGGCAAAGAAGCCAGAGCCAACGGAGCCAGGCAGTCTGTCTCAGGCACACGTCAGTCCCCTTCCCACCCAGAGGCTCTCTCACCTGTAGGCAGCGAGTAGTAGGCCATGTGGGAACTTAGTTAAGAGAAGAAAGTTTTTCCTTGTGATAGTGACTCTCGAGACCCTTGGGGTCAGACCGCTGGGGGGCTTGGCCCATATTAAAGATTTCCAGGGCTGAGCCATTCTCATGAGGATTCACATTCAGGCCTCATGGGACTTTCCCAGAGACCTGGGGCCCATGTTCCACCCCTTACAGGCTCCCTCTGGCTGTGCCTGAATATTGTAGCGGGGAAAGTGTAACCACCGACTCTCCCTTAGTTCTCTTCCGCTGCGCTGTGGGAGGCAGGGAACCTGACACTCAGTAACAGAGGAATATTTGGAGAGGGGCACCAGGAATTTTGAAAAAGCAGCCCTCTTGCCCTATAGTTGAGCTGTTTCAGAGTACCCACAAGAATCTGGGAGCAAGAGGCTGTGGGTCCTGGAAAGGTCGACTGGAAAGAGAATCAAGTCAGCATTAGGGTACTGTTAGCCGTGCACACCTGGCCCAGAGCTTCCAGTGCTAGCAAGCGCCCCTCACAGGGCAGCTTCCTCTGCAAACACTCATGCCCACCCCCCTCCTGCAGTGGACCCCCAGGCCCTGGTGCGTGAGGAGCAGGCGAGCACCATCTTCCAGTTGGAGCAGGGCAAGAAAACCATCGATATCTACTGGCTCTTTGATGATGGAGGTCTGTGTCCCCTTGGGCCAGCTCTCCTGGGCCAGGTTTCCCTCCATGCCTCCAGCCCTTCCTGTTCAGTTTTCATCAAGGCTTCTCAGGTGGGACAGGGGCCCCAAGCCACCATGGAGCTTGAAGGAACCTGGATGTTTGCCACTCTCTGGTTCCGGAACTCCAGCTGTAAAATGGGGCACTTGAAGGGAAGGGCTGATATCAACATGAGATTGAATCTTTGGACCACAGTCCTTGGGAGTGGGCTAGTTCAGGGGTCACAGGCCTAGGACATAAAGTGGGAGGTGGACTAGGTGCCCAGGAAAGCTGAGGAATATTCGTTTCACAAAGCAGCATGCTTTCTCTGATTTCCTTGAAAGCATATCATAAACAGACTTCTGTTGTTCCATACTTCTTATAATATTCTAGAGAGAAAATGTCTCAGCTCTACCAGAATACAGCCTACTGACAACAGTTAATAGAAGCTATGCGCGTTCTACGAGCTGACACCAAGTACATTACTGTGTTAGCCCAATGCAATCCCCCAGGGAGGAACAACTGCCATTAACCATTCTTTGTTGTTGTGAAGTGCTGTGGAGTTGGTTCCGGCTCATAGTGACCCCGTGTAGAGTTTCTGGGACTTTAAATCTTTGCAGGAACAGAAAGTCTCATCTTTCTGGAAAGGATCCCTTGTTGCATAGTGGGTTACAGGCTAGACTGCTAACCGCAAGGTCAGCAGTTTAAATCTATCAATCACTTTGGGGAAAAGATGAGGCTTTCTTCTCCCATGAAGACTTGCAGCCTCGGAAATCCTGTACAGGCATGCTGAGTCAGAACCAACTCCACGGCACACCACCACCACCTCCAGCAGAGCAGCTGGTAGGCTCGTACAGCAGACCTTGTGATTCACAGTCCAGTGTTTTCATATGGAGCCACCATCCTCATCATCTTTACGGATAGGGAAATGGAGACACAGAGCCGTAAATCCATGTGTCCAGGATGACACAGTGCTAAATGACAGCCAAGGAGTCTGGTGCCACAGTGGTTACGCGCTCAGCTGCTAATTTAAAGATCATTGGTTTGAGCCCACCAGCTGCTCCCCAGGAGAAAGATGTAGCAATGTTTCCATAGTGGTGGTGGTGTGCCCTGAATTGGTTCCAACTCAGCGACCCCATATAGGGTTTCTTTAAGGGAGAAGAAAGTTTCATCTTTCTCCTGCAGAGCAACTGGTGGATTCGAACTGCTGACCTTGTGGTTATCAGTCTAGCCTGTAATCCACAACACTACCAGGGCTCCTTTCCATAGAGATTACAGTCTTGGAAACCATATGGGCTGGTTCTTCTCTATCATAGGAGTCACAACAAGTGACAGCTAGTCCTGGCCTTGTGCAGAGAAAGGACAGGGAGTGATGAGGGCTCCCATCCACTGATTCCATTTTCAAACTTTTAAGAAATGCCAGCGGTCTCGATTTTCATATGAAATCTCCAATTATTTAAAACAAGCTTGTTTATTTAAAAGCATGTTGTTGTTGTTAAGTGTGGTTGAGTTCCGACTCATAGCCACTCTGTATAGGAGCAGTTGGTGGGCTCAAACCACCAACCATGTGGTTCGCAATCGAGTGCTTATCCTATAGTGCCATGCCAGGAGTCCACTTAAAAGCATGGCACAGACCAAATAAACCACGCCACAGAGCACCATGTGTGCCTCTGGCTTAGACTGCATGCTCATTATACTGATGGGAAAACTGAGGTTCTCAGAGGGAAAGGGGCTGGCTAATGGCTGAGTGGTGTGGGAGCCTGGCCAGAGGCCGGGGGTGGCGGGCAGAAGACTCTCCTCTGGACTCACATGGACTCTCCTTGCCAGGTCTCACCCTTCTCATCCCCTACCTCCTCGGCCGCAAGAAGAGGTGGAGCAAGTGCAGGACCCGTGTGTTCGTGGGTGGCCAGATCAACAGGATGGACCAGGAAAGAAAGGCGTAAGTGGGAGAGGGCCAGCAAAGGGCCAGCACTGGCCTGTCTCAGCCACCGAGACGACTGACTACCCCTTCTCTGCCTCTCCCGGACTCACTCCACCACATTGTTGTTGTTTGGTGTCATCCAGTTGGTTCCGACTCCTAGTGACCAAATGCACAACTGGATGTGCCACTGCCTGGCCTTGCTGCATCCTCACACTCACTGCTATTCTCGAATGCATTGCTGCAATTCCATCTTGTTGAGTGTCTTCCTTTCTGCTGCCCATGGACCGCTAGAAGAACTGACAATTAGTACTTCCAGAATGCTCTTTAGAAGCCAGGATGGTGAGACTTTCTTCTCTCATACTTCAGACCTATTATCAGGAGGGACCAGTCACTGGAGAAGGATATCATGCTTGGTAAAGTGGAGGGTCAGAGAAAAAGAGGAAGACTCCCAAGGAGATGGATTGGCACCTTGGCAGCAGCAATGGGCTCAAGTGTAACAGTCACGAGGATGGCAAAGGACAGGGCAATGCCTCTTTCTGTTGTACATAATGTCTCTATGAGTCGGAACAGACTCGACGGCACCTAACAAAAACAACTACTACTTTAGCATGATGTCCTTTTCCAGGGACTGGTCCCTCCTGACAACATGCCCAAAGTTTCAACACCCCAGACTCGTCTCTCTGATTAAAGCAGTGGGAATGGATCTCTGGGCAGGAACAGTTTCTTGACATTTGGGATGTTTTGGTTCTTGGTGCAGATGTCCTACTCCCAGCTATGATGCGGGGCTGAGGGGAGTTACATTTTAAATCCACACGTCTCCTCAAGGAGAACCTGAACCAGTTGGTGTGGAGTCGATTCTGGGCGGCCCTGTGTGTGTAAGAGTAGAACTGTGCTCCAGAGGGTTTTCAGTGGCTGATTTTTCAGAAGTAGATCACCAGAACTTTCTTCCAAGGTGCCTCTGGGAAAACTCCAATTTCTACCCTTTCGGTTAACAACTGACAATTTGCACCACCCTGGAACCCTGTGGTATCTATGGGGATGTTCTCATGCCTTTAGCTCTCTTTCAGTTTTATGGACAGTTCAGAAGGTGGAGGTCTGTTTAGCATTGGTCTGTCTTTCTGCTTGATAACCCGTGTTAATCCCCTATTTTAAGCAATCTAGAGCAGCTTTGGGTTCAGGAGCTGGCAGGCAGCTGGTGGTATCCAGCTAGAACTTAGTAACAATGCTTTATTTGCATAAGTTTTATTTAAAATATGATTTAAAATTTCCTTTTGAAATTCATCTACACAAGAATGTGAGCTGATTTAAAGTAAAAAGAAAGCAAATAGGAACACAGTTGGCACACAGGGGTGAAGATGACAGAATTCAGGCAGGTGGCATGTATGTGCCTGTTGTTGTGAAGTGCCCGTGGAGTCAGTTCCAATTCACAGCCACTCTGTATAGGGTTTCTGAGGAGCGGCTGGGAGGTTTGAACCACTGACCTTGTGGTTAGCAGTCCAGTGCTTATCCTACAGCACCACACCAGGAGTAGAGTTGAGTAACTGCTGCTTGAGTGCAAGGTCAATGAGGTCAAAGGTCATAGAATGGAGGAAGGTCAGAGTGATGTCAGTTGAGGTCAAAAGGAATTGAATGGAGGTAGTCAGCACTGAAGGAGCTTCAAGGAGACTTACCATAGGTCATTCAATTGATTAGCAATAGAGGAGATGTCTGGGGGAGGGAGCACTGTGGGTTAATGTACCAGACTGCAGTCACTGTTAACCATAAGGTCAGCAGTTCAAGCTCAACAGTCGCTCCTTGGAAACCCTATACAGGGCGCTATGGGTCGGAACCGGCTCAATGGCACTTCATGACAACCATAACAACAGTCCTAGCCATGGTACCCTGGGATGGGAGGGGGCTGCCTGGCCCCCACTGCTTCTTGCACCCTAGTCCTAGGTGAGGATCACGTCCCCACGGGCCCCCCTTGTCTAGTTACCCCCTGTGTGAGTGAAGGGCCACCCAGCAAATCCATCGAGATGAGTCCTCTTCCCCTGCAGCCCAGAACCTGTCCCCAGTATGCCCAGGAGAGCCACATCTGACTTCTCTGTGGTTTAGAAGCAGACAGACCACAAAGGCTGCTTTGCTTGCTCAGTTGTCTGTGCCCACTCTGAATCCCAGCTCCATTCAGTGCCTAGTTCCCCCCAAGGCCATGGCACCTCAGGGTAAGGGGTGTCTTCAGGCATGTTGGTGCACTCCTCATTGCCTCCCCTGCCTTGCAAGTCTCTCTTAACAGCTCACCTCTTGTGACCCTGCCAACTCCACCATGACCAATCTGCCCAGGGCTCTGCCCTCAGCAATTCACTCCCTGGGTCCAGGAGACAGCTCAGCAGCCTGATGACCTCTGTTGGTTGTTTGAGGGGGCTGCTGTCCTGGGCCCCAGCCTGGCCATTCAACGATCTCCCCCTCCTTCTCCTCCTCTTGCGTTCTGTGCCATCCTAGCCAGCTCTGCCCATTCCTGCTCAGCCCCGCAGCCCCATGTCTTTGCTCACTGGACTTCTCCTGGCTGCTGACTCTCTCCCAGTAAGCCAGCAGGATCATTGTCTTGCCAGAAAAAGGATAAAGGACAAGGCAGGTGTGTTGTTTTCAAGATTCTTTGAGTGATTCCAATGTGGACATTCCCCTGCCTCAGAACCCTGGTCTATAACAGTCTTACCAGCCAAGCACTCCAGAATCACCACCTCCCCCTTGAAGACCTTACTAGAAATGCAGAATCCCAGGCCCCCTCCTGAATCAGAATTTGCGTAGTTGTAAGAATTCCCGCAGATGCACAGACCCATGAACATTTGAGGCACAGGCTAGCGTGGATGTGGTATGATGGTTAAGTGCTCGGCTGCTGAACAAAAGGCCTGTGGTTTGGGCGTAGCAGTCACACTGCAGAAGAAAGATGTGGACACCTGCTTCTATAAGGGTACAGTTTTGGAAGCTACAGGAAACTACTCTTTGAGTCAAAATCAACTCGATGGCCGTGGGTTGGGTTTGGTTTAGTGTGAATGTAGGAGCCCCTGAATGAAGCAACTGGTTCATATGCTAGGCTACTAACTGACAGGTTAGAGGTTCGAGTCCACCCAGAGACAACTTAATAGAAAGGCCTAGTAATGTACTTGTAAAAATGCAGCCATGGAATCCCTAAGGAGCACACTTCTACTCTGATGCACACACAGTCCCCAGGAGTCAGATTGGCTACTGGCAACAGGTGTGCTCACTAGATCCTCCAGAAATACCAGCTGACATCCAGCCCAGTCTACACTGACTCCTGGCCACCCCATGTGTGTCAGAGTAGAACTCTGTTCTGTGGCGGTTTCAGAAGCTGAGTTTTTGGAAGTAATCATCAGGCATTTCTTCTGAGACACCGCTGGGTAGACTTAAACATCCAACTTTTCGGTTAGCAGCCCAGTGTGCTGTTTGCACCACCCAGGAACTCCACCTGGGAACTACTGGTCACCTGTATCCCCCCCGCATGGCAGTTATCATCTGGTCTACCCTACTTTCCTCAGGATTCATCCTTCCTCCACCTAATATTAGAATGTAAGCTCCAATAGGGCAGGGTTTGGTTCTTTCTGGTCTGCCTCATCTAATCCTATACCTTAGTGGGTGCTCAGCAACAATGTACTGAATGACTGAATGCATCTTTTAAACTCTCCGTCTGTCATCTAGGATCATTTCTCTGCTGAGCAAATTCCGGCTAGGATTCCATGAAGTTCATGTCCTTCCTGATATCAACCAGAAGCCACGGGCCGAGCAGTGAGTTTTCCGTGTTGGGGGTTCTGCCCATCACTTCCTTTGTTTCTGATGAATCGCAAGCAAAATGTTGTCCTCTCCTGTGGTAAGAAAGAGGAAGAGAGTCTATTTTCGTGTTTGTGTTTTTCTTCTCCTCGCGCTGCTGGTTTTGTGCATATCAGAAACACACCTGGCTGGGAGGCTGGTGAATAGCTGCATGCCCTTGTTGGTGCTGGTGTTGTTGGGTATAGTCTAGTTGATACACGTGACAGAGTTGAACTGCCTTATCGGGTTTGCTAGGCTGTAATCTTCACAGAGTCATTGGGTGGGTTTGAACCACCAACCTTTTGGTTAGCAGCTAAGCACTTGGCTACTGCACCACCTGGGCTCCTTAATGCCCTTCTTAGATTGGGTGTTCTGACCATGTGAGTAGAGGCCAGTGTTTCATCCAGGAATCCTGCTTTGATAACCACTGCCATCCCTGAGTGGTACAAACAATTAACACACTCGGCTGCTAACTGAAAGGTAGGAGATTCACGTTCACCTAGAAGCACTTTGAAAGAAAGACCTGGCGATCTATTTCCCAAACGTCAGCCATATGATCAGCACTGAATTGCAAACCACAAAGTCAGCGGTTCGAGACCACCAGCCACTCCATAGGAGAAAAATGAGGCTTTCTGCCCTCGCAAAGATTTACAGCCTCAGAAACCCTATACAGGGTTGATATGAGTCAGCAGTAAATACCCTCTGGAGCACAGCTCTTCTCTGACACACATGGGGTTGCCATGAGTTTAAAGACAGGAGATGCCACACTGTCCTCTTTCCCTGGGATATTTCCTGTTTCTCTGTCCATCAGGGACTTTCTCAAACGCAGCTTTGCTCCTCATAAGGAGAGTTGCCTCCTTTCCCTTTTGCATTCGGGTCCATCTCTGCAGTATTCTGATAACATCTGACTTCCCCCAGCTTGCACGTAAGCTGGAGTAAACCTGGAGGGCAGGTCTCTGTCCCTGCAGCTCCAATCACCAAAATCCAAAACAACAAACCCAAACCCGTGGCAATCTCGTGTGTTATACGGTAGGAGTGCTCCATGGCGTTTTCCTGGCTGTAAACTTTATGGGAGCAGATCACCAGATCTTCTTTCATGGCCCTCTGGGTGGGTTTGAACCACCAACCTTTTAGTTAGCAGCCAAGCACAAAGCATTTGTTGTTAAGTACCGTTGTGTTGATTCTGACACATAGTTGTCACACACAAGGCTGTAAACCTTTACAGGAGTAGGAAGCCTCATCTTTCTCTCGTGGAGTAGCTGGTTGGCTTGAACCACCAACCTTATGGTTAGCAGTCCAGTGCTTGTCTTACAGAGTCACCACACTCCCCTGTCACACAGTTATTGTTGTTGTTGTTAAGTGTTGTTGAGTCAGTTTCGACTCATAGTGACCCTGTATAGGGTTTCCAAGGAGCAGCTGGTGGGTTCGAACAGTAAATACCTGCTGAATGGACAGGTAGGTGGAGGGTGGATCCCAGGTCAGTGGGTTGAATGCCAGCCCCAGTGGTAAGGGCTGACTCAATACAGAGGCTGCTTTGAAGTAAATACTGTCCTGGTGGTATTTCCTGCACAGCATAGGTCTGTGTACCCATTCCCCACCCACTCCTGAGGCCTGGCTCCCGGGAAGCTGGCCCATCTCCTGCCCTCTCCCTCCTTTCTCTGTCCTCAGCACCAAGCGGTTTGAGGACATGATTGCACCCTTCCGCCTGAATGATGGTTTCAAAGATGAGGCTACTGTTGCTGAGCTGAGGCGGGACTGCCCCTGGAAGATCTCCGATGAGGAGGTCAACAAGAACCGAATCAAGGTGCAGGAGAGAGAATGACCCGGCTGGGGTTGGGTGGGTCAAAGCTTCCGTCATTCCCCACCTCCTGGACCCCTCAGCCATGCATGCCCTGTCCTGTCTCAGAGGCATGCTCCAGTCACAGATAGGAAGGTTGGCCTTTGTTGGAAGGAACATCCCCACAGGCCCCAGGAGTGGTCTGGAATCCTCCCCTTGCCTCCCAGTGCCCAGTGGCAGAGAATCTTGAGCCAAGTGCTAAGAGTCGAGGTATAATTTATCTTGGGAGGCTACAAAACTGGCTGACCTTCACGGGGCTCAGATATGCCACTTTGTGCATTTCCAGGAGCTTCTCACTTTAGTTCACAGACCCCTACCCCAGACGCTGCCTAAAGCCACATCCTTCCCCGTTCTCAATAGCTTCTTCAGGATGCTAACAAATGTTACAAAAGGGCGTGTGGTGATGGTGGGGTGCTTCCTAAAGTGGTGCTGTGGCCGAGGAGGTGGGGGGGCCAGTTGTGGGGTAGTGGTGATGGAGCTCACAGCTCTGCTGGCTGCTGTGTGTTCTGGTTCTCCACCAAGAACAGTTGGCAATGTCTGGAGACATTTCTGGTCCCATAACTGGAGGGAGGAGGGTGCTACTGGTATGGAATGGATAGGAGCCAGGGTGCGGGTAAACTTCCTATAGCATAGGACAGCCTCCCACCAAGATTATCCAGCCCCAAGGTCAATAGTGTGGCGCTGTGTGTTAATGCACTAGACTGCAAAGTCGGTTTGAACCGCAAAGTTGGCGATTCGAGCTCGCCAGCTGCTCCTTAGAAACCCTGTGAAGGGTCGCTATGGGTCAGAACCCATCTGACAGCACTTAACAGCAACAACAAATGTCAATAGCGAGACTCCTGGTATAGCACTATAGGATCAGCACTGGACTGTGAACCACAAAGTCGATGGTTCAAGCCCACCAGTTGCTCCTCAGAAACCCTATACAGGGTCCATGTGAGTCGGAACTGACTCGGCAGTACTTACAGCAAAAACAAAAATGTGAGAGATTATGAACCTCTGGTTCAATCCCTCAGTTTTCCTGTTTCTAAAATGGGGCTGTCCATCCACTATCAGCTTCTAGTTATTTCTGAACAACTAGACAACTTGGGGTTGGGCCTCTTCCCCTCTGTCCGCACCACTGGGGGACTTCCCTGGCCTGCTAGCCTGGGGGCCTTACTCCAGAGGCCCACACCATTATACTCTCTGGAAAATGCTACAAAACCAGCAGTTTCCCAGGGGGCATTGACTACAGCCCTGCAGTGACAGTGAGGAGCCCCATCCCCACCATGCCCCCAGCATGCAGGGCTCACTCAGGTGCTCTCCTTGGTGCTTTTCACAGGTTGTCTCCCTTGTTTCTCCCTGAATGGCCCTGGGTGACTCCTGTCTGATAGCAAACCCATTTTATAGATAAGAACAGTAAGGCTCATGGAGGTAAAATGACTTGTTCACATTCTCTCTGCTATGAAAATTAATTTGCTCTCTTTCCCACTATCCTGGTGGTCATGGTACTATATATAAAAATCAAATGGAATCTATTGCTGTTGAGCCATGTCCGACCCATAGCGACCCTACAGGACAAAGTAGAACTGCCCTATAAGGTTTCCTAGGCATAAACTTTAAGGAAACATTTCTTTCTCCTATGCTGCATTTGAACTGCCAGTCCTTTGTCAGAAGCCAGGCACTTAACTGCTGCCACCAGGCCAGGGAAAATCCAGTATGGCTTTTTGAGGGAGATGAGCTCAGCACCAGGGGCTCCTTCCTTCCTGGAGGCAGGGGAGACCCTAATACATTAGGGGGATAATTTTTGTACCCAGTTCAAATGTGAAATGAAACACCTGGGCTTGGGGGTCCTGCTTACGAGGGTGTTGGAGTGAACACCTGTCTTTCTGGTCCCAGTCCCTTCGGCAGGTGAGGCTGAACGAGATTCTGCTGGATTACTCCCGAGACGCTGCTCTGATCGTCATGTAAGTTGTACCTGGGGGGAGGAGAAGCCCCCCATGAGGTCAAGGAGTTCAGCTTTGAAAGGGTCACAGGAAGTGGGTGCTGGCTGGAGACAGGAGCCTTCTCTGTGACCCCAAGTGCCAGTTAATAGAGTCCAGGTGGTTCTAAGCCCATGGCTGGACCTACCACCCTTCACTGGAGTGAAAAACATCAGATCAGAGGTCAAAGGTCCCACTGACTCCCCTCTTGCCAACATAATTCCTTGTTTGCTGCCTTTCCCTGCAAAACCCAACTTGGCAAAGGACCCCCAGTTGGTTCCAGAAGGAAAGCAATTCCTGTTATTTGGGAATTCCTCAGCCCTCTTTCTTTGGCTCTTGGTCCAGTCTTGCCAAGTCTCGTCCAGGTTCAGTTCCTACAGGACGCTTGGGCTTCAGCCTGTATCCAGTTCTGAGTCTCCTTTGTGGGAGCTGGCCAGGGCTGGGGTGAGGAAGGTGAGGTAGAAGGAGACTACGACACAGAGAGGGTCTGAGGTGGCTTTGCGCTCTCAGAAGCCAGTAGGAAGAGCAGGTGGGTGAAGCCAGCTGGATCCCCTGCTCAGTAGGACTCAGGGAGAGGCCCAGCTCAGAGGGAAAGGGTATTTGCTAAGACACGAAAATGACCTTCCTTCCATTTCCTGGGGGCTGACCACCTGGCCACTCCACAGGACAGTCAAGAAGCCTGCTGAACCTGTTTTTTCAGACCCTGAAACCAGGACCTATTACATAATTTATGGGGCCTAGAGCAAAATGAAAACATGGGGCCACTTGTTTAAAAATTATTAAGAGTTTCAAGATGGTAACAAAGGAACATTCAGCCAAGTGCGAGGCTCTCTGACTACAAAGGGCAAGGACACGCCGCCAAGCACTGGCTCTGCCTGAAGCAAGGCTACGCAGGGCTTTCAGGGGAAAATGTTCCGTACACACAAAGTTCTCCACGTTTCCTTTGATATAAGACTCATGAGAGGGAAAGAGCTGGGTTTATCTTTGAGCCTCCGGCAAAGGATTTTCCTAAGGGAAGGCTGACCCATGGAGTGGGTTGGGTCACAGTGGGGGATGATGGGAATGGCCGTATCCTGGGATGGCCCCCCAGACCCTTCCCTAGGTGTGGTCCCTGGTGTGCCAAACCCTCCTATCAGAGATGTGGGTTTGCATTGTCTCTGTCTCTGGCCCCAAAAGGTGGCCTTGGAAGAGTAACCCCACTGTTTTCTGAGCTTCCGTTCCCAAATTATAGCAAGACTAGTTAAACAAAATTATTTCTAAGCGTCTCTTTTGCTCTAATGTGCTGTGATTCTAAATTTATCTGCTTTACATTGAGTCTGCCCCTCAGATCACATTGTTGTCAGCTGCCTCCGACCCATAGAGATCCCATGGTTCATAGGGTAGAACTGCCCAGCGTAACCTTCCTTTATGGAGAGCCAGAGCACCAGATCTTTTGGTATCCAGAGCCACTGTGTGGGTTCGAACTGCCAACTTTACAGTTTACTGACTGATCACAAACCGCTTGTGCTGCCAGGCTGCCTACTTAGCATAAAATGAGGAATTTAGTCATGGTTGGCGCCTGTCCCCTCCTAGATTCCACCCCCGTTCTGTGGAATTAGCTGATGCAGAAAGCTGAGTCCAGTCACCTTAGAGGGGACACCCACACACAGCCTCACACTCCAGGCGGCAGCCACAGCTGTTCCGGCCGCCCTCGGCTGGCGCCACGGGGAAGACCAGCAGCTGCAGCTTTGTAACCTGGAGCCTTGGCAGGTGCTCTAAAAGTTCAGTCTGAGGGTTGCTTTCATCAAAGCTAGGAGGAAAAAACAAATCCCCGGAGTCCTTCCAATCAGGGTCTGAGCTGGAGTCCAGGAGACTGCACTCCCAAAATTCTGAGGAAGAAAACAATTCTTCCCAACTCTGGTGAAATGACAAAATCATGTTGCCCAGCATTACTGAGCACGTGCTCATTGCGAGCATTCCGAGCCATTCTGAGGCAGCACTTGGTGGTGCGCTGCCAGCAGGTCATCTGACCCGCTCCTGGTTTGAGCTCAGTCTGCCCAACCAGCCTGGTGGTTGTTGTTTATTGTTGTCGTTAAATGCTGTCAAGTCGATTCCAACTCATAATGACCCTGCATAGGGTTTCTGAGGAGTGGCTGGTGAATTTGAACCACCAACCTTGCAATTCAAACCGACATCACGGTCGAGTGCTTATCCTACTGCGCCACACCAGGACTCCATCCAGACTGGGAACCAGACTGTACTCCCAGTCTATTCCTGCCTATCTGTGGGCTTCAAGCTCCTCTTTGTTTCTGTCAAGACTCTCCTCCTGAAAGCCATTTCCTTTGTTGCAGGTCTAAATAAAGCCCTGGCATGTGCTCTTCATCTATATGGGCTTCAATGGGCCCAGGTGCCGCTCAGGGACAGTCCAGAACTGTAGTTCCAGTCCTGTGGATCTTGTGGAGTGGGCCATTTATCACATATAGGAACTCCAAGCTGCTCCTCTAGAAACTCTGGCCCTAGAACACGCATGCCTCAGTTACCCTAACTCTAATAACGCCCTGAGGTGACTTGAATGTCCAAGTAAAGTGGACCATTGGTAGCCCTTCCTCCAGCACTGCACAGCCCCACCACAGTGATCCCAACCCTCAGCCTCTGCTACCGTAAAGTCCTCTGCCATAGCAAATCCCTGATTTCATAGTTATGTTGGAACTAACTTTCCACCTCCCTATACATCCTTGGAAGGAGCCCTAGTAGCGTAGTGGTTACGAATCTGGCTGCGAACTGCAAGGTCAGCAGTTTGAACCTACCAGTTGTTCCATGGGAGAAAGATGAGGTGTTCTGCTCCCGTAAAGATTTACAGCCTCGGAAACCCTGTACACGGTCGCTGTGAGTCGGAACCGACTCCACGGCACACAGCCACCACCACCATACATCCTTGGGGGTTTCTATGAGTTGAAATCAACTTGATGGCAGTGGGTGGGGTGTGTGGCACAAGTGGTTTGAGATTTGTGGTTAACTGAACCTACAAGTTAGCAGTTTGAACCCAGCCAGAGGTACCACAGGAATACATGTTTTCTAGGTCAAAATCACTTCTCAGACATTGGTAAACCACCGACTGTCCTGGCAGAAAAGAGACAAAAATCAACCCTGATTTCTTAGTCCTTGTTGTTGTTGTTAAGTGCCACCGAGTTGGTCCCGACCCATAGTGACTCCGTATAGGGTTTCCTAGGAGCAGCTGGTGAGCTTGAACTGCCGACCTTGCAGTTCAAACGACTTTGCAGTCTGACACATTAACCCACGCCCTATTCCCTTTCTTTGGCTAAAGGTAGCAAAGCCGTGGGACATCTGCTGAGGCTTTGCGATAGTAACAACAGATTGAGTAAACCCCGAGTGCAACAGTCTGAACCATTAAAATGGTATTTATAAGGATTATGTTTATTTTGTGCTTAACATTAAACTTGAAAAAGCAGGATACAGGATTTTATATAGGAGGGCGCTTCAAAAAAGTTAGTGGAGAAATGGAATGAAAAGATAATGGAATTTTCCCACAAATTGTTTGAAGCCCCCGTGTGTGTTAGATACCCAATAAAGTTCAAAATGTATAAGAAAAGGAAGTAAAACAAAAGTGGGAAAAATTCTCTAATGTGTTCAGAGTGATTGGATTTAGATCTAGGGTTATAGGCAATTTTATTCAACATTTTCTGCTCTTTTAATTTATTTTTCACAGTTTCCTTTCATGAATTTTTGCTGCCTTTATAATAGAACAATATTTTTATTGGGACAAAATAGTAATAATATTTCATTTTATTGTTTGATAACTTAAATGATACTCGGGGAGTTGGGCCTTATGAATTTTCAAAACTCTATGTGGTGGTTCTTTTATTACTCCCCTCCCATCTTTAAGTCTCTGGGTGGTGCAAATGATTTACACTCCAGTTTTAACCCAAAAGTTTCAGTTCAAAACTACCTAGCAGTCTCACAGAAGAAAGGCCTGGCAATTTGCTTCCATAAAGATTACAGCCAAGAAAACCCCGTGGAGCAGTTCTACTCTGTAACACACGGGCTTGCCCATGAGTTGGAATCGACTCAACAGCATTGAATTTGTTTTTTGCCCGCCGTGTTCTGAGTTTTGGAGGTGAGGAAACAACCCCTCAGAGGTATTAAGCAATTTGCCCTGCATCTCTCAACTGGTAACTGGGGATTACATCTTGAAGGCTGTACTTGATTCTGATGCCAGGTGATCATTGTGAGTCTAGGCTAGATCCCAGGTTATCCATCTTTGTGGCTAAGAGATGCAATTACGAACAAGAAGCTCCATTGTTCCTGGAGCAGCTTTATTTCTGAAGATTAACAACTTAAGGCGCACACATGCTGTGAGCAGAAACAGAGCTTGTCATTGACTGGCACTTGGGGTGATAGGTGTTCCTTGCCTGCTCCCTCAGGGCCTTTGATGTTTCTGAATTCAGTCCTTGAAAAATCTGCATATTTCCTGGAGGGAAATAGTTTGGGGCACAAGGGTTAAAATCAGTAAAAGTTGTTTTTAACATCTCTACTTCCACTCCTCTAGGAAGTTGCCAGGCAAACACATTCTAGCTAAAATGACAAGTACATAAAGAAAGCCCACCTTCCCTAATCTTAGCTAGCTTAACTGCTTGGCTGTTTACTAGGTTGGAAGTTTGAGTGTTCCTCCCCAGCCCCACCCCACCCCTGAGGTTCAAACCCACAAATTGGTCCTTGGAAACCCTGTACAGGGTTGCTATGAGTTGGAACCGGCTCAACAGCACGAAACAACAAGAGGTGCCTTGGAAGAAAGACCTGGCAATCTACTTCCCCCCCAAAAAAAATTTAGCCGTTGAAGACCACACAGAGCACAGTTCTATTCCAACGCCCACAGGGTCACCGTAAGTCGGAATGGACTTAACAGCAACTGGTTTGTTTGGTAGCAGGGATGTGCTCACCAGATCCTTGGGAAATGACTCATGATGATCCCCACGTGTGTCAGAATATTTGGGGAGAACACAATTTAATTCATAGCAGGGGTAGTGACTCAGATACAGTGTCTCGGGTGGCAGCGCCTGTGGACCCCAGCGCTGCCCGGCAGCCCCCTTTCTGCTTGGGTTCCTTCACCGTGGAGGAGGCAGGGGCTGCAGGCCCAGGGTTGTTTTGAAGTTCACGTGCAATGATGGCTCTGGCTGGGCTTTGGGATAAGAAACTATGAAGGGCTATCTCATGTAAGGGCTGGGGTCCCCACTCCCTACGACACCAACCCACTGCTCTCTGAGAGGGACAGCTGCAGCTGTCCTGGTGCATGCTTGGAATTCTCAGGATGGCAAAGTCCTTCCAGAAATAGCCATGAAAACAGGGCCGAACAGCATTCCCAGGCCACCTCATTGTTTGCATAGCATTGCTCAATTCGGATAAGGGGGCCCTCCAAAGACACCCAACTGAGGCCTGAGGACATAGCAAGTTGTGTGGCCACAGGTGGTGTGTGTGGCTGGAGAAGCAAGGCTGGTATACCTTGAGCGGCCTGATGGGGTGGGATCAGCCACTTAACCAATCTCCACTGAGCCCACTGCTATCAGACAGCCATGACAGAGGTGGGAGGGCTGCTGTGGAGAAGGTGGTCAGGGAAGGAGATGGCATTTGATCGGACACCTGAGGGATACTAAGGAGCCAGCCAGGTGAAGAGTTGCGTGTACTGCCTTCTGGGGGGCGGGGAGCAAGAAAGCCATCACGTGCAAAGGTTCTGCAGCAGAAATGTTGGATTTTTCATTTTTATCGGGAATGGAATGAAAGTCACCATGACTGACAGGATATGGGGAAGGTAGAGGGGGTACCTGATGCCCTGCAGGCCAAAAATTTGTTTAGCTATACATCCTGGCCGAAGGTACATTTTGAGCAAGTTTTCTTGTTTGTTTATTAAACACATTTTTATTGTGGTAAATATGTGTGTAGCAAAGCATTTACCATTTCGACAATTTTCACTTAGACAACATGGTGTTCATCATCACCTTTATCTGGTCCTAAATTTTTCATTATATTATGCTTCAAAAAGCAGAACATCCTTCTTAGGAGGGTGGGAGGAGCTCTGAAGGGGACAGTACACAGACTTGCTGTTTGGAAAAACCAGCCAAGAGCCAGGTTTGGTAACTCCCCTTCTGTGCTTCTTCCTGCCTTGCAGCACCTTGCCCATAGGCAGGAAGGGAAAGTGTCCGAGCTCACTGTACATGGCCTGGCTGGAGACGCTGTTCCAGGACCTGAGACCTCCAGTCATCCTGATCCGAGGAAACCAAGAAAACGTGCTCACCTTTTACTGCCAGTAACTCAGGCCCAAGGCTGAAAGTGTGTGGGAAGAGCTCCATTCCACCAGACCAGACTCCTGTCCAGTCGCACTGAAGTATTGGCATCTGATATCCTGACTGAAGAAACTGGTAGATTTCCAAACGTTGGCTGTGCCCCACTTCTATCAGACATGAATTCTGGGCCTCACTTTTTATAGGCTGGAGAAGTATCAGATGGAGATGCAGGGGAAAAAACCTCTCTGGAGGATCCTTGTTCCTTTTTAAAGTCTTCTTTTGAGCTTGATTGCAATGAATTAAGATTTCAGTCTTTGATTTGTATGAGAGTTTGAGTCAGAGTGCTGGGAACGAATCTTGGCCGTTTCTACAGACTTTCCCAGGTGGTAGTCCCCAAATCATGCCTCCTTCCTTCAGCAGCTGGAAGAATGGGAATCCTGCTTGTAGGATTTATGGGAGCACCCAGGAATGCCGGGTCCTGAGAGCTTCTGTCATAGTGCCCATTTCTCTAGCTGCCTCTCACTCCTTTCACTTGCAATAACTACATTTTCAATGTCTTGGTTTGTTCTTCACACCAGGGACTTCTAAACTTTTTTTGAGTGCAACCCACATTGAACCTTGGATCACACAGACCTGAAACAAAAATGTCACAAGACAATATTTACCCTTATTATGGGGAATGTTAGGGATCCTGATGGTGCTGTAGCGTCATCACTGGATTGCTAACCACAAGATCAGCAGTTCAGACCCACCAGTCACTCTAAAGGAAAAAGATGAGCCTTTAGGCTTCTATAGATTTAAAACCTTGAAAACCCTATACAGGGTCACTATGAGTCAGAAATCAACTCAGTGGGCTTAGATTTGGGTTTATGGGCGACATGGAGTCTCTGGGTGATGTAACAGTTAAGCATCCGACCACTAACAGAAAGGTTGAGAGTTAGAAGACACCCAGTGGCATCTAGGAAGATGGGCCTACAGATTTGCAAAAGCCACAATCTTGGAACCGATGTGGATCACTTCTCCTCTGGCAGCCAGCGGTCTCTGAGTCAGATGGACACATGATGACAACTAACGACAATGGACGACGCACTCTGATAATTTCAGTTCTTTCTTCTTTCCTTTTTAATGTTGGTTGTAGTCCACTAAATGATTTCAGAAATTTCAGAACCTACTAATGGGAGGTCATCCCCAACTTGAAAATCACAGTCTAGTTAGAGTTTCCTTTGTGTTTGTCTGCACAGCGGGGAGCCGGGCTGACTTGGGGAAAGGCCACTGTTGGACATTTCTGCTGTTTTCCTAGTTCATTTCACAGGGAGAAAGGGGACCAACCAGAAGCCTGAGAAGACAGGTACAAGTGTCCAGAAAGAGCTCCAAATGCAGGCAAGATTTAAGGAGCCTAAGAGGAGTCCTGGTGTGGTACTGTGAGTTAATGTGCCGGACTGCAAAGCCGTTTGAACTGCAAGGTCGGCTGTTCAAGCTCACCAGCTTCTCCTTGGAAACCCTATACAGAGTCGCTATGGGTCAGAATTGACTCGACGACACTTAACAACAACAACAATGGAACAGAGTTCAATTTTAGGTTTGGGCAAAGACAAAGGACAAAGATGTCAGGAGTGGGAAGCAGAGAGAGGGTATAAAGATGGCAAGGTATAAAGATGAGCAAAGGATCAGGAAGGAAGGAGTGGATCCAAACACAGTGCAAGGTCAACAGGGAGGAGGAAGTGGTAGTGGTGATGTGCCGTGGAGTCAGTTCTGACTCATAGTGACCCTGAATAGGGTTTCCGAGGCTACAAATCTTTACGCGAGCAGAAAGCCTCATCTTTCTCCCAAGGAATGGCCGATAGTTGTGAACTGCTGATCTTGAGGTTAGCAGCCTGACTCATAACCACTACGCTACCAGAGCTCCTTCAATAGGGAGTTGGAACCACCAATGAGAGATGAGAACTGTTGTTGAGGTGAGGTGAATGCAAGATGGGGGTCAAAGGTGTGAAAGAAGCTGGGGCAGATGGAGAAAGGACTTAGACATATTTCAGGTAAGGTTACTATGAACCACAAACCTAGAATGTGAGAGTGGAAGGTACATTGAGGGACATCTAAGACCAGTGGTGATGTTCCCAGAAAGGCCATTTGAAACATCATAGAGAAGAATTGTTTATTGATTCAATGGCACTGGGGTGGCAGAAGGATCAGGGCCTTCCTAGGTTTGTCCTTTTCCTCCTAGGTGGGGTTAGAAGTTAAAGAACTTGACCCAGGTCAGCTTGCAAGATTCAGAAGGTTCCAGGCCCTAAGCTGGTGACAAGTCCCACTGTTCTTACTGCATCAGAGTTGCTGGGAGCAGTTGCGAGACTCAGAGACTGGAACTGGGAGGCTGGCTGAGCTTACTGGGGCTGCTTCTCTGGCTCCTGGGGGACCTGCTGTTTGAAGTCTTCAGCTGGACCCTGGTGTCAACCCCCAACTCCTGATAAAACACGTGTTCATCAGGATCTGCCCTGGAAAACAATCTGCCTGGCAAACAGGCGCTCCCTCTTCAAACTTCAGGAAGACTGATGGAAGACCACAGATGATTTTGGCTTCCAGTATTTAAAAATGACCTGACACTTTCACTCTGCTGGAAACAGTGCATTTTTAACCATGATAATCATTTCTGTTTTTTGTTTTTAAGCAAAAAACAGAACAACCTTGAGTTAACCGTGAGGCCAAAAACAATAAAACGTATAAAAATACTTTCACTTAATCAACAGAACATGTTCGTTTTGGAACACACTGATTGTCGACTCCTAGAATGTTTTGAAAAACAGGGTTGTATTGTTTTCTTCAACCCTGTGTTGAACCCTTCCCGGGGCTTGCACTGGTCCTGTGGGTCAGATGGTTGCTTTCTGCATGAATATTTACAGAAGCCTTTTATCCCCTGCTTGTCTGCTCATGTTTGTAGATTCATGGGTAACCATTTTCTTTAGCCTTTGATAAAAGTCTTTCAATATTTTCCACTTTCCTCAAACTAAGAGAAGGAAGAAGTTGCATTGAAAAAGCCATGGTGTGTCCACCGGAGATCTGAATTTGAGTTTCTATATCTCTCTAAAACTGGCTGTGTGACCCCAGATAGGCTCCTCAACCTCTCTGGGCCTCAGTCTGTGTAATGAAAGAACTGGACTAGAATAGCTGTCACCAGCCAGCTGGCCTGCTGATGAGTGTGCTTTGATCCATGCAGAGTGACTCAAGTTGTGGATGTCTGGTGGGTGCTGGAGAAGGTGACACATTCTCCAGTCATCTCTCTTGTGCCCCATCCCTACCTCAGTCTGGCCATCTCTTCAGACTACCCTACTTCATGAGCTCTGGGGTTGGGAGCCTTTGAAATACTTTGAGGCCCTACTGGGCAGTGGGAAGGTAAGAAATTTCAGTCCACACTTGGTCTTTCTTCCTGCCTTTGGGATGGTCAAATGCTTTATAGTTAGCCTTTTTATATTTAGTTTGGCGGCTGGGGGAGCAGAGGTGGGGTTTCATAGTGAAACCTATGAGAACTGAAATTCACTAGGATTGTTTGTTTTTCTGGGTCTCACACTTTCCGCCTTTGACAGGGTACAGTCACTCTCTGTTTGGTGGGAAATCTTAGAGTTTTCCTGTCTGCCTGGTTTCCACCTTACACAGGTTCAGGTTTACACAGGTTTTACTCAACAGTCCCTGCAGTCTGCTCTGACCCTCAGAGAGGTATGGCAGCAGGCTGAGGCCCAGTCACAGCCATGGGGCACCCCAGCATGATTCCTCACTTCTCTCCCAGTTCTGCCCCCGACTTTCCAGTCTCCAGATTCAGTTCCTGCCCAGACGAGCCATGGCTTTGAAGTCAGTACAGTTCAGCCCATTTTTCTCTCAAAAGGCTCACGGGCGTGTATGTGTGGTAAGAGGGGGTGGCGGGGTGGAGAAAGAAGGAGGAGGGTGTCATGGGATGAGAACAACTGAATGTTCTTGAGAAAACCACCTGGCTGGAGGCCCCCAGGCACATGCAAAGCAGCTAGGTTTCACTAGTATCTGTGTATAGCTCAGGGTCTGCAGCAATGAGGCCCAGGAGGGGCCGGGCACCAGCTCCTTTAGTAATTCCCCATAGGGAGGTTTAATCCAATGACCAAAAGCTCAGCACAAACACTGCTTCCTCAAAGGGAGCCTGAACAATTCAGGTTCTAAAAATACCGTGTGGGCAGAGACTTGGTAAGCTGGTCGGCAGATGTCTTGGAGACATTTTATCCCAACTCATAGCAGAGATACAAATAAAACGCTAGGTGGGATTCAAAGAGAGAACAAACACACCAGCTCAAGGGATGCAGGAGAGTCTCTAGATAAACCAGGTCTGGGAACAGAGGGAAGATTCTGAAGACCTAAACGGGGTTGCTGGGTTGGAGGAAGGGCCTCGGGGGCTGAAGGACCGGCTTGAGCAGGGACAGCCTTATGCATGTTTGTGAAGCAAGGTATAAACCCTTCTGACTGGGTGTGTACATGTGGAAATAAGAGTGGGAAAGTCGTGATGTGGAAAGCTGGACTGTGGGGCTGAGAGCTCACAATGAACTCAGAGACATTCAAGTTTGCACTGGTCTCCTGGTGTGGCGCTGTAGGTTAATGCGCTGGACTGCAATCAGTTTGAACTGCAAGGTTGGCAGTTCAAGCTCACCAGCTGCTCCTTGGAAATCCTATACAGAGTCACTATGAGTCGGAACTGACTCGATGGCACGTAACAACCACAACTTCTGCAAAGGAAGACTTGGCCGTCTGCTTCTATAAAGGTCACCGTCAAGCAAACCCCACAGAGAAGTTCTACTCTGTAACACATGAGCTCACCATGAATCAGAGTTGACTAGAAGGCAATGGATGGGTTTGGTTTGAGGGGTTGGGTTTGTGGGGAGCCTCGGAAGGTAGAGTTTGGAAGCTTGGTTGAACAGGAGATTGGCAGAGACAGGAAGCACTGAGAGGGTCTGTGAAGAACTTCAAAGATAAGTTAACAAGACTTGGAAAATGGAAAAACGAAGGGTGAAGAATAGAAA